CTATATTTTTTGGTTGCACTGATTTTTTTTAATTTTATGTAACCATGCAACCACCTCATTCCCTGCAATTTCTTCTGTTTGTTCAAAAGGTAAAAAATTATCTCTACTCCACAATTGAGATACATATGTTATGCCTTATTCTTCTATTTTTATGGGCTTTTTTTATATGTTTCAGCCTACTATAAAGCTGGAATTTATTATAAAATAACAGAATTTAAGAACTGGAATTGACCTAAGTAGTCATCTGGTCTAATCAACACTCACAGGAAATCTGAACTATAGCTTTCCCCACAAATGGTCATACAGCTTCTGCTTGAAATCCTCTAGTGAGGGGAAAGCCACCTCCTGAGAGAGCCCTTTCTACTCTGGGGTAGCTCTAATTGCAAGGAAGTTGTTGAGTTTTTTTTCCCTGACATCAGCCTATATTTGCATTTTTGCAATGGCCACCCATTGCTCCTAACTCTGCCAACCAGAAGAATCTAATCCTTCTACATGATAGCCCCTCAAATACTTGAAGAATACTATGACCTTTCTCTGGGAAAACCATCCCCCATTTCTTTTCTACCATCTTCGTATAGCATAGAATGAATCTTACCTTCCTGTTGACTTCCTTTGGGGGACACTCTAGCTTGCCATTATTTTTCTTACACTGTGATATTCAGAATACAACAACCACAACGACAAAGACTTCATATTCTTCATCTTATTAGATTGAGCCCAAGGCTCTAGCTGATTTTTTTTTTTTTGCGGGGAGTGGGGAGGGAATCCTACCTCTACCATATGGTGTGTTAGTTAAACGTCCCAACTTTGCATCATCTGCAAATTTGATAAACATGCCATCTTTGTCTTTATCAAAGCCATTAATAAAAATGTCTAACAGCAAAGGGACAAACACAGATCACTGAGACATTCTACTGGAGACCTCCTGGCAACTTAATATTGGGCCATTAAGAACTATCCTTTGATTCCACCCATTCAGTCACTTCCTAATCCATGGAATTTCTAATGCCATCCACAGTTTGTGATACTGTCCACATTTCCCCAAGAATAGCATGAGATATGATATCAAGTGCTTGGATAAAATCTAGGTCAAGAATATCTGCAGCATTCTCTTGAACTACTAATGAAGTAACTTCATCAAAAAGGAAATAAGGCTAGCCTGTCATTGCTTTTTATACTTGCCACATTACTAACCATCTCTTCAAAGACCCATTCTAGAATTTTGCCATGAATTGAAATCAAGTTCACCAGTCCATAAGTTTTCAGCCCCTGTTCTCGTCCTTTGAAAAAAATCAGGACATTTGCCTTTCTCCAGCCTAGTGAAACCTCTCCTGTTATACATGACCTTTCAAATAGCACTGGTGGTGATTTTATAATCACCTTGCCAGTTTTTCAATATCAAGGACGCTGTTCTTCTGGACCAGGTGACTGGAATTCATCAAGGGCAGCTAAGTATTCTCTTACCCTCTTCTTCCTTATCCAGGGGATCAGCTCCCTCTTAGTCTATTTTGTTTCGTCATTTCTAAGTCAAAAGTCATTCTCCGTTAACAGGGAAACCAGAATCAAAATCATATTGTCTTCTATCTGTTGTCAGTTTTTATCACCCTTCCACCCCAAGCAGTGGTCCTATCCTTCCTTTGATATTATTCTTTTCCCCAAAATAGATTTTCCAAAAAGGCCCTTTTTTAATGTTCTTAGCTTCCCTCACCTTTTCCTGAACCTTGGCATTCCTGTCACTATTTTTATAGGACTGTGCCATCCTCATAGTCATCCTCTGTTACCGCCCTCGCTCCAATCTTCTACATATATATATATATATATATATATATATATATATCGTTCTTAAATCTAAGTAGATTTAGTAAGTTCCCTATTCATCCACATCAGTCTTTTCAGACAGCTCCCATTTTCCCCTTCATCAGGGTTGTTTTCCTTTGCGCCTTCAGAATTTCATTTTTGACTTTCCCATTCCTACTTGGTGAATCACCTCAGAGGATTTTAGTTTCAGGATCTTACCTTTCCTTCCTCTGAATCCTTTGACATCTGTTCCCCCAGAATCTACAGTGTATGTCAAACTATGCTTGGATTTCTTTTATTTCTCTATCACAAAATCTAGAGTGGTCACTGCCCATGCCATCTGCATTCCCCTGACTTCTACCTCAGCAACTAATTTCTTTCTGCTGGTGAGAATCAGATTTAGTGTAGAATTTTCCCTTGTTGGTTCTTCTACTCTTTGAAGGATGAAATTATTACTAAGGCAAATCAAGAAATTATTAGAAGCTCTGTTGATTTTATTAAATGGTATGGGTCTGTTGTTGTTCAGTCATTTCCAACTCTTCATGATTCCATTTGGGGTTTTCTTGGGAGAGATACTGGAGTGGTTTGCCATTTCCTTCTCCTGCTTATCTTTACAGGTGAAGAAACAGAGGCAAACAGGGCTAAATGACTTGTTCAGGGTCACACAGCTAGTGTCTGAGGCCAGATTTGAACCCAGGAAGATGAGTCTTCCTGACTTCAGGCCCAGCATTATATCAACTGCACCAATAAGCTTTCACAAATGTTATAATATGAATATATAACTATATTTCTACCAGATAGCTATCCAATTTTCTCCCAAATATTTATTAAATAATCCTTTGTCCAATTTTTATTTTCCACAGGTTAGGGTATCATTGAAGAAAACATGAGAAGGGAACAGGCAACCTTTGGCATACTATTTTGTACAGCAAACTATTTCTTTATGGCCATATACCTAACTGTGGATATCCAGAATGTACAATTCCATTGTGTCTGTTTTTAATTGATTTTTTAAAAGGCATTTGACTCAATAGAACAAAATATAGCCTTGAAGGCTGGCCATAAAAAGTCATCTACAAACACATACATTAAAATTGTATGGAGATGGCTTTTATGGTAGAGAAAGGGATACAGTGGAAAATGTAGGTGAGGTAAAAATAAAAGATATCATTAAAAGTTCATTCAAAACAAATTTGCAAAATTATTTGACAGAGTTGTTCAATGATCCTTAAGGAGAGACATCAAGCAAGGCTCTGGCCTTCCAACTCTGAAATTTAATGACTTCTGAGAAAGCCATGAGAGTACTGTTATAGATGAGAGCGCACATCAGTGAATTCAGAGCCAGTTGAATGACTGGACTCAAAAGAATAATAATAACAATAGCAGCTAGTATTTCTAGAGCACTTACTATGTGCCAGGCACAGTCCTAAGTGCTTTACAAATATTATCTCACTTGATCCTCACAATGACTATGAAAAGTAGGGGATATTATTATCCTCATTTTACAAATGAGGAAACTGAAGCAGAGGTTAAGAGACTTGCCTAGAATCACAGCTATGTAAGTATCTGAGGTCAGATTTGAACTCAGGTTTTCCCAGCTCCAAGCCAGTGCTCTATCTAATATGCCACTTAGCTGGCCCTACCAAGTAGTCATTAAAGGGTCAATGTCAAGTTGGACACATTCATTTGCCAAAGGTACTTGCTACAATGGTGGAGGGTGCCAGCCCAGATTTCAAACAGAAGACAGATTTCCTATAAATGGCAAAGTTTTCTAGATGTTCCTGAAGGAAGATGACAATATGTTCGTTACATTAAGCCTTGAAATATTGCAGACTTAACCGAATGAGATCCACAATCACTCAAATGAGTTTAGCATGCCTATCTATAGGGGGAAAACAAAGCTGAAGAATGGCAATTAGTTCATTAATGACATATGTTTATCTTTGGCAGGCACTGCAAGTGAACATTAAGCTGGTCCTAGAATTGAATAGGAGGAAGAGAGGGCTGGATCACCTTTGAGACTGCACCTTTTTTTTGGTAGGCAATGGGGTTAAGTGACTTGCCCAAGGTCACACAGAGGAGACTGCACTTTTAACCAACCCCCAAGCTTCTCCCTGAAACATCTTGTTCAATAAAAAAAAAATATGAAAAACTACTGCTTCTGAAGAACTAAGTTTTCAGTCACCAAAGAGTATAGAAATATACCCATGAGTGTGAGTAGAATATAGAATATCGTCAGTGAAGAATTGCACAGAAAAAGTCACTTAAAAGATGTCATAGCAAGGTGGGCCAGTTACTCACAAAACATCAAGAGATTCAAACAAATGTCCCTAGCACTTTGGATGGAAACCTGGTAGGAAGGATTTTATAGGAGAATATGGACAAGAGGCCCAGAGAAATGAGGAGGCATAGATGGGTTGCATGTTGCAGAGATGATTTCTGTTCAAATATGACTTAGGCTGAATTGTCTTGGAGAGGTATTTCCCAATGCTATGGCTCTGTGGGACTCAGTAATGCAAAAGAGATTGTGTTATTCATCCACACGGTGGAAAAAAGTGAATAAAACCCCAGATCACGCAGACTCTAGCATGTGGGTGAAGGATCACCCCACTGGATTGGTCCAAGGATCTTGACTAAATATTACTGATGGACAATAAACTACATTTTGTTCATTTCCATTAGGAAGGAAAATAATACTCAGGATTAGGTTAAGTCACTTAACCTCGTTTGCCTCAGTTTCCTCACCTTTACAGTAAGAATAATAAAAGCAATACCAGGGTTATTATGAGGATCAAAAGAGATAATATTTGCAAAGCACTTCACAAACTTTAAAGTTCTATATAAATAATAGGTATTATATCAATATGGGGCTCCTAAGTAGTGCAGTGGCTAGAGCGCTGGACTTGGAATCAGGAAAACTTACCTTCATGAGTTCAAATCTGGCAACAGACATTTACTAGCTGTGTGACCCTGGGAAAGTCACTTGATCCTGTTTGCCTCAGTTTCCTCATCTGTAACATGAGCTAGAGAAGCAAATGGAAAACCACCCCAGTTTCTTTGCCAAAAAAAAACAGGGTCATGAAGAGTCAGATGTAACTGAAACAACTCGACAACAAACATTCTATCGATATTCTCTCTCATGTCACAAATCATGGAACACTTGATCTCAAAAGATTCCAAATTGCAAATCACCCAAAGGACAATGAGTAGACACATGGGAGGTATAACTAGACAGGCTGCAGGATATTGCCAAGGATGATTTGATCTCAGAAAGAGGCCTAAAAGAAATTATTAAGAGTATATATGGGCATGGAAAGATGGGCCAGTAACATAATGAGAAGAAAAGATAGCTACTATGCTACTTCTGTACCTTCGAGATGTTATTTAAAAAAAAAAACAGAGAAAGAATTCAGGCATATTGAGTAGATCTTCTTTGGAAGGTTTGTGAAAAAACATGAGCAGGAATTCTACGGGATGGGTAAAGTGTCATGTGTACTAGTGTAGGTGGCCTCAGTCAGGGAGGCCAAAGTCAACAGCCAATTCTTCCTCTAGTATTTTGTACACCACAGAGGAGGTTGTGATTTGCACCACTGGAAGAGGTACCCACACCAAAGAGAACACAGATCCATCAAAGTATCTTAGTGAGTAATCAAATATCATTTATTTCTATATATTTAGTTCTATTTCTGGCATTCTTATCCTATTGTTCTTTTTAATTTGTTTTCATTCCACATCAGGTAGTTGTAATGGTAACGGCTTTGTAATGCTTTAAAGTCTAGGAAGACAAGTCCAGTTTCACTCACTTTTTATTTCAAATTTCCCCTCGTCCATTTCTTTTTTCATATAAATGTTGTTATGGCTTTATCTAGTTCTACTTTTTAAATGATATTTTGATTGGTATGCCATTAAATCTGTAAATTAATTTGGGGGAGTATTGCCATTTTTATGATGTTGACCAATTCTTCTGTAATGAAATGGATTGTCTTTTTGACTGATGGCTTCGTTTTCCCTTGTAAATTAATATCTTTGCTCAAAACCAAGATGTCTCCGATATAGTAAAGGAAAGAAAAGGTGGGTGTTAGGGTAGCAGACTCCTTTAGAGAGGCAAGAGAAGACTTAAGGAAAGGAAAATAAGAAATCAAGCATGGTGGATAGCTAAGCAGGAACTCAAGGGGGCTCAGAAACCAAGTCAGGGTCCTCAATGTTGGAGACCCAGAAAATTTATAAGCTAATGAAAAGATTAAACCATGAGACCAAAGGCACAAAGCTTGGGCAATCTTTGTGGGGAGGAGTTCATTCCATGATGATCTGCAATGGTCAGCAAGGCCTAGGGCAGAATATTTCACAGTACCCATGAATATGGAAGTCTCTCCAATTACTTAGACCTCCTTTATTTCTGTCAAAACAGCTCTATGGTCATCAGCATAAAGGGCATGTGTGTCCAGATACATTAGTTTCTAAATAATTATTTTTGTAGTTGCAAATGGAGTTTCACCCTTTTAAAACACTTCTGTGGTCTCCATTGGAAGCATATGGAAATGAGAATGTTTTGTGCAGTTATCTTGAATCCTGTTGCCTTGCTGAACTCATTCATTGTGTCAATAAATTTTTGTTGAGAATGATGGATTTTCTGGGTAAACAATCATGTCATCTATGAAGAGGGATTTTTTGACCTCTTTGATTTGAACGTTCATCTCTTTAATTTCTTTTTCCTGTCTTATTTTGATGGCTGGTTTCTGATCTCAGTGACCAAGACCCATTATAGCTGCCCCCCATCTTCTTTCCTCTTCCTCTCCTCTCACTAGCAAAGTTATTTCTCTGTGAGATTGGAGACATTTTGCTCCACCCACTAGCCCACAATTCCCTCTCCTGTTATTGTCCTTTCTGTTATTTGATAATCTTCAACTACACCTGAGGTTGGACAACATCTGTTCCACACCACAGGGCAAAGTAGTGGCAAGATGTCAAGCCACTGGGTGGAGCTTCAAGGCAAATGTGGGGCCTGAGGGACTTTTGGAGATGGGGCTTCCATGGTCTGAAACTAACTGTGGAGTATTCCTTGATCAGAGGCCTTTGCTATTGCCATACCCAATCTGGAAAAGATGTGTCGCCGTTCCACCCCCACCCTCACAAGTTGACCACCAGACAAATGCAGAATTGTTGAATATGGCCATTCTCCCTTTGGCCCCAGCTACACCAGCTGAGAGTTCTGTGTACCCCATTGCTACTCTATGCTATGTTTCTGTCTGCAAACAACAGCTGGCAGTAAAGAGGAAAGCAAGGTGGGCAACAATCCAGAACACTTCTGGGCCCGTGTAAAGATGCCAGAAAACTGGCCCCTTCACAGGCTGAATCAAGGGATGTTGTGACTCCTTCTTCTCCTTTGGGTTCTCTAATAAAAAATAATCATCTGATAATTGAGCTTATTGATATATAGTACTTCAAAGTTTAATTTTCTCATCAGTAATAGGACTCCACCCCAAATACTCAGAAATAGTAAAATGGTTGTCAAAATGCCCATTCCTTCCTTTTGCTATCCCATGTCCTAGTCTACTCTATAAAGGAGACTATTCTTCTAGATCCCCTGACCTTTATCCATACCTGTTCTCCAGTTCTGCTATTCCTGCACCTTTTTTTCCACACTGGCTCCTATGCCTGTAAAGCCATCCTTCCTACTACACCCACCGCCATGAATTCCTATCCATCCTTTAAAGTAAAATTGAAACATCACCACCTTAAGCACCTTTTCCTCTTTGGATCTCAGGTAGCACCTTCTTTGTGTTACCTACTATATCTAACCAGCCCAGTCCTACTTCATTTTGCGACCTGTCATCTTCTTGCCTATGAACATACCCTTAGCAGCTCCCCACCCTACTTCCAATTCTGAAATCATAGTCAAATCACAGTTACCATTGCTATTGGAAAGAGAAAGAATATATCCATCTACTCATCTCTGGCTCCACTCACCATCCCTGTGACTTTCCAAAATACCTCTCCTTAGACACTACTTTGCTATATGTTATTTCCTTCCCCTACTGGAATGTAAGTTCCTTGAGGACAGGGATACCTTACTTGTGTATTTCTATCCCCACCACTTAGCAAGATGCTTTGTTAGATAGCAAGCCCTTAATACATCTTTTTATTAATTCTTTTGCTCATTCATTTATCATTAATTCTTTTGCATTGTAGTTATTTGTGAATGTGTCTTATCCTTCAGAACAAGCCTGGAGATGGACTATAAATGTCAGTTGTCTGAGAACCAGCCAACCCAGATTCAAAGAGATTCATCACCTGGTTAGTACCAGGGTCCTTAGATTTTCCTGCCCTACTATCCATCCAAGACCACCCTTGATTCATAAAATGGATTACAGTCTGTGTCTTGAAGCTGATATGCACAGCAGTGGAATCAAAGAAAAACATCCTCCTACGATTGTAAGGGCAGGGACTTTGCCTCAGCAAAATTTTATGAGTTCCCCCAACACCAACCACAAAGCTCTGAATCCAGTAGGTAATTAATAAATGCTTATTGACCTGAAGTAAATGAAATTGGGAAAATAAAACAAATGCAAAACCAATGAACTTATAGAAACACATCTTAAGGTTGCTCCAACCTCTGAGAGCTAATTATCCACTCCCCATCTAGCCCCAGCCTCAACTGCTTCTCTATCAGCTTCATTATTCTGTCTGGTGTTCCCCTTCAGTGAGTCACAGTTCCATGATCTGTCCTCTGGTGTCCAGACCTGAGTGTGCCTAGACATGTGGGATGTTCTGCCTTTCTCCAATCAGCTTCTCACCTTCCCTCAAGACCTCTCACTCGGCTCTTACTTTGAGATACTTCAGTTCAGGACATTAGTTCTCACATTCATTTGCAGATTTAGGAAGACCAACATCCCTGGGAAATAATTAACATGTCACACCATTCTCTCCCTGTTGCCAGATCCACCTACTTCCTAGTTATCCAAGTGATTCAGAAGCTGGCTTTCACCTTTCAGGGAAATGCTAATCCAAAGCCTACCTTACAGTTCGAACAATCTCCTTCTTTCCAAATTCTGGGAAGCAGGGTAGTAAAGCTATTACCAAGAACCCCAAGGAGGGCACCAGTTTTTCTCCCACTCCGAGGCTACCTAGAGGCAACAATAAGAAAGTAGGGAGATTGGAAAAATACACAGAAAAAAAGAGATCATAGTAGGACATGGAAGCAAACAGGATATTTCTTGTTATTATGTTTTTAAAGCCAACACACTTTTTTTTTCCTCTAACAAACTATAAGCAACAGGGTTTCCTTGTTTCATGTGTCATTATGTTTTAATCTTGTTTGTGTATTGGGAATGTTTGTTTTATTGGTGGTCACTAGGATTACAAAGAATTTTTAAAACATAAAAATCGAGGTAGAGGTAGAGAAAGCTTGAACCTCCAGGCTGGTGTTCCGGCTGCCATGTTATAGTGCAGCAGCAGACCTGGGAGCATGATGAAAAGAGAGAGAGCAAGGGAGGCAAACGAATCTCTTCATAGAAGAACACTGAAGCTCGGGAAGTCTAGTGTTCCTGTGTGATGTTCACCCTCTATTCTGCATGTGTCCCTGGTTGTGCTGAGAACTGCCTATGGTCTTGGGCACAGAAAACACTGAAGGGCTGGGTGATGATTCCATGTCACAAGGTCAGCAAATGACTGCTTCCTTGACATCATCTTCAGAGTGTTTCCCTATTTTGTTGAGTGTGTTTCTGTCAGAGGTCAGGCACTCCTAAATGCTTTATACAAACAGAATCAATAAAATACATTTTCCACTGACAAGAAGGAGAGGGGCATTTCATCACAAAGGATTTGTCTAAATGTAGATCAAGATCCCTTAGATTGGTCCACCATTTTCCCGTATGCAGATAAATGTCCTTCCAAATAGCACACAAGGGCAGAGAAACTCAGAACATCTGATAGAGAGAGCAGCTGAGTTGTTTCTAAACAGGATTGCATTTTCAAAGTCTGAGGCATTAGCAGAGAGAAGCAAGAAAGGAGGGGGAGAGACGTGAAACAGAGATGCTTCTAAGACGCTATTACCAACCGAAGAAATTTATTTTTATTTATTTATTTTCAAATTGGGCAACTCTAAATCGTCCTTGCCAGAATCAGTTGGCTGCCTAGAACTGTTCCTGACACTCCCCTAGTTCTAATTAAACACTTCCCCTGGCCCTTTTTTCCTGTTTGGGGAGAACATGTGAAGCCTTAAGTTTGGAATCATCCCCACTGCTTTAATTATGAAAGAGACATCATTTAAAGAATGTCAGCAAGGCTGGCAATTAGATAGCAAAATGAGTGTCTGGTAATGAAACACCAATTTCCAGGCACTTGGGATGATTTGGCCTCCTTCTTTACTGGCCGAGTGGGCTTAGACTTGACCTCCCCTCCCTTTCCTCACACAGAGAACAGCCCTCCTGGGATCTATTGCCCACCCAGTGCTAGCACCTTGGGTGGGGTGGTAAAGAAAACTCTTAACTTCAAGTCAAGAGACTTGGATTTCAGTCTTAGATTTGTATTTCACTAGCTACATGACCTTCATAAGTCATTTTGCTTTTCTGTGCCTCAGTTTCCCCATCTGTAAAAGGAAAGAGTTTAAATAAATCTTTCTAATGTCCATTACAAGCTTTGT